TACTCTCCTTTGTGTTCCTTTCTTCTATTTTCTAGTCTTGTAAATTATGCAGACAGTTGATTTTGGGCCGCACAAGGATGGGAACATGACCACACTTCTGTCTTTGAGTTGACGTTCACTCACAGCTATGTGGGGTAAGTTTTTCATAAAGCAAACAGTAAAAGTATTTTCAGATGTGTGGAGAGACGTGTCATGCATAATAGTACAGGTCTTAATCCAATGTCGTAGTCGGGCATAGAGTAATAATGCAACATTGTTTTTTTTCTAATTGTGTCCTAATTGTACTTTAGCGGTTAATAGAAAACATTTTTACACTCAAGGGTTAAGACATGCCATTACAAGAGGTCTTTCCACTGATTAGATCCATTCTGCTTCTGAAGGTGACTCTGGAATACAGTGTTTATGATAACTGTGATGCTACAGTTACTGGACTCTGTGCTGCCTTAATGCTGGCCAGGTCAAGAGGATCAGTTTCTGCTTCACAAGAACTTTTTGGTGACTCCTTCATTAATGGGAGTTTTGGGTGATTCTTACTCAACACTTTCTATAGCCACCTCCACTGTTCCAGGTTTATTCTGATTGCTCATAGTGAGCCTTAATTTTGTCTGAAAGGCTGTTTAAGATTTGCATGAGTAGCATGAGAGGAAGCCTGACACACAGTCTGTGAGCATATTGTGTGTCTCTTTTTAGGTGAGTTATTTTGCCACATGTTCCTTCCTGAGTGATTGGCAACTGTTTATTCTTTTGGATGACTCGTGCTTTCCAGGTGAACCTCTTAGCAAAACAATAACTAATATGTTTTACAGGATGTAGAAAACTAAATGTCAGCATTGGCAGTGAAATGAACTCTTTGGGGCATAAAGAAATATGTACTTTGTTTAATAATAACAAATGTATATTGAGGTGATAATGCTGAATTCACTGATTCTATTCTGCCTAACTGAAAAAAAAAAATCTCCATAATAAGGCTGCAAAGAGTCTAAAACACTTTTGGTGGACTTGAGCAGTCGTTCTGATCAGTGAGGATTATTATCCACATTGTCCACATTGTGAGATCTTTCAAGTCCATCTTGACCCACTGTGGTTTTGTCTTGAGGCAAAGACCAAGAAGAAATAATCAGCTAGTGTGGTCATGGTGTTTGCATATTAAATCCATATTTACCAACTAATGCAGGAGGTTCGGTTCAAACCACAATTTAGCTTGTGAATTTACACTGTAAAAAGATTTTCTGTATTTTAAATCAAAATAAAATTGATACTCTATCAGATATCAACAGTTCATATTTTTTGTCTGCATGAATGTTCTTAGAGTTAGAACACACCAGTTATATATACATAATTAGAAGTAAGCATGAAGAAGAAAGTGAAAGAGAATGAATAAAATAATTGGAAAATATAGTATAACTGTACTCAGGTGTGTGCCATTAGGTGTGAAAACATATGTTTCATAATGCACTATACAGGTGGTGAGACACAATGTGACAGAGTGTACAATCTGCTGTAAAACATACTGTTCTGTGTGACAGGTAAGAGACCTTTCAGCACCCACAGCTGGAGACAGACTGGAGCTACGGCAGGTATGATATCAACTTAACTTGAACCTGTTCATGTTTCCAAGTACAACTGCTACACCGTGAGGTAGCTACTGGGTTCATAATAAGTGTTGATATATAAAAAGAAAACAGTTCAGCTCACTCATCTCAATAAACAGACCTATATGTTTGTGACAATCAAGCAATTATACAAAAAAGCCAGAAATGCAAAATGTCTTAAACATTAGATAAATGATGTTTGCAGTTTCCTCTTCTCTTTTTTTTCTGTTTACAATTAGGAATAACTTAACACTTCCTGAAAATGCATCTTTGTTGACCTTCAGTGGGAAGCTTCAGGTAATATTAGTGGACTTCATGACCCTGTGGTATCAGTGGTGGCTGTGGTTGTAGGTTTAACAAAGCTCACTTTTGACAACACTCAATCAACCCTATCAGTGACACAGCTTTTCACAGTGGTGAAGTGTTAAAGTGGGAGAAAGGATCAAAAAAGCCCGACACCAATAACTTAACCTATCACCTGTAAGATTTTATTTTTTTTTCTCCTCTTTTTTTGCAGACTCCTTGGAGTGCGCCATGGTCTGGTTCTGGTCCAGCCCCCAGCATGACCACTGTGTTCCTAAGAAAACAGTGTTCCTCTCCTACCATGAGCCTCTGGGTATCTGTTTCCTCAGATGCCTCACTGCTGGACACATTTATCTGTGCTGTTGTCCTGGGGGCCTTTACCAATCATAGACCATGATATGCACAAAAAATTCTCATCTGAGCTACGTCTTCCTGCTGTTTGAACGACCAGAGCAGCAGACATGCCAACTGAGACATGCAGCATTCGAGATCAGCTTCGCACTTTGTGTCTTGTTCATCCTGGTGAGAAACCCATTATGGTTCTGACAATTTTCAGAGCTTCCAAGCTCAGAGTTGCAACAAATCTCTAGTGATGTAGTGCTGCACAGCAGAGAGGAACACTTACGATTCTCACTTCTATTCAAGCAGCAATCTATGTTGCCTGGCTTGTCTCTTCCTCAACAATTCCTTAAAAATAAACACTCAGTACCACAATGGCAAGATAGTTCATGAGTGTGGGCCCGGGGCAACAATTAGCTTTGCAACATTATTGAGCCATACTGTCCACTGGCTATCCTTGGCTTCTTTGTCTCATTTCTGGCAAAGAATCTGCCAGGCAGGACAAATATGCAGATACAATTAAGATATTTGCCAACCTGGCTTCCAGTTTTGGCCCGTTGGTGGCACAATTTGGACCCAAATGATGCATAATTTGGATGAGGCAAGAGGGAAGCACAAAGCAAAGACAACAGCAGAAAGCAGTCTTGGGTCAAGGCACCCCAAAGTCAGAAAGCAACACAGACTGTATTACTTAACATTCATGCAGCAGTGATTCACTCCCAAGTGATCCACAAATGTAAATGTCTATTAGTGTTAAAACTCTTTACATGTAAGACAAAAGCAAAACGAAATGAGAAGAAATAGAGTTATTCATCAAAAACTGAGCCTTTCCTTATTTCTGTACTTTTTTACCTTGTCCTACTCAGTCTAACTTAAACCAGATCTTGTGTTTGTCCCACAGCCCTGAAAAAATCCGCTAGCAGTTTCAGTGGCACTATATGAGATTTGGACACTGCACTCTAAATCCATGAAGTTGAGAGCTAATAAAACAAAAGTGATGTAAATGCATTCCCAAGCAGGTAATTTACTTCACATCAAATCACAAACATTGGGACTCTAATGCAACTTATCTTACAACCTGGATAAAACCTGTTAAATAGAAATTATCCGCTCAACACTGGATTTAGATTAAATACATATTGTTGAAACCAGAAGTTTACATACACTGTATAAAAAGACACATAACCTTTTTTTTTTTCTTACTGTGTGACATCAAATCAGACTAAACTTTTCCTGTTTTTGACATTAAATCAGACTAAACTTTTCCTGTTTTAGGTCAGTTAGGATTACCAAAATTATTTATATTTGCTAAATGACAAAATAATGAGAGAGAGAATTTTTTAGAGATTTTCTTTGTTACTGTCTTCAAAGTCAGAAGTTTACATACATTTCCTTAGTATTTGGTAGCATTGCAATTATACTGTATGACTTGGGTCAAACATTTTGGGTATCTTCCACAAGCATTTCACAATAGTTTGATAGAGTTTTGGCCCATTCCTCCTGACAGAACTGGTGTAACTGAGTCAGGTTTGTTGGCCACCTTGCTCCAGATGCCTTTTCAGCTCTGCCTACAAATTTTCTACAGGATTAAGATCAGGGCTTTGTGATGGCCACTCCAAAACACTGACTCTGTTGTCCTGAAGCCATTTTGTAACTAAGCTAGCTGGTTTGCTTACGGTCATTGTCCATTTAGAAGACCCATTTGCACCCAAGCTTTAACTTCCTGCTGATGTCTTGAGATGTTGCTTCAATATTTCCACATGATGTTCTTTCCTCATGATGCCATCTATTTTGTGAAGTGCACCAGTCCCTCCTGCAGCAAAACACCCCCACAACATGATGCTGCCACCCCCGTACTTCACAGTTGGGATGGTGTTCTCAGGCTTGCAAGCTTCCTCCCTTTTCCCCCAAATGAAGGTCTTTGTTCCTGTGTGCATTTGCAAACTGTTCTGTTTTTTTTTGTTTTTTTTTCTTTTGTAGTAATGTCTTCTTCCTCTCTGAGTATCCTGCCAGCCCATGTCGATATAGTCTTGTTTCACTGTGGATAATGACACTCTCTTACCAGCTTCAGCAGCATCTTCACAAGGTCTTTTGCTTTTGTTCTGGGGTTGATATGCACGTTTTGCACCAAAACACATTCATCTCTGGGACGCAGACAGTAAGAAAAAGGTTTTTGTGTCTTTTTGTACACTGTATGTAAACTTCTGGTTTCAACTGTATTTAAAACTAACATAACATTGCGTTTAACAAAGGGTATAGACAGTGTTAAGATAATTGTTACCTTTGCTGTATTGCTTTTGTTCACAGTGGCTTCTCTCACCAAATGTTTTTTTTTGTCTACTGATATTTCAATGGACACAGCTCTGTGTGTTTAAGAGACAATAATCAAGATGAACTTAAGCTTTACAAAAGCTAAAGATTGAAGTCATGGGTATTACCATGATGAACAGAAAATATATGAATGATGTAGTTATAACATTCTGTGTCTGCAGAGCTCATTTGTGTGCCCTGCCCCCTGATGTGCTAGTGGGTGGTGTGAAACTATGATGAGAAGCATCAAAGGACATGAGCCTGTATATAAAACGAAGTAGCCATTATTGAAGACAAGAACCAGGAGGAGGTGCAGTTATGGGGGCATTTCCTGACACGTTTATGTTTTTATATGTTGATTTGATCTTGATTTTGTTCTCTTCCTCGTTTTTCTCGTCAGAGCCTTCCTCTCTTCTCTCATCGTGCAAGTTAAGAAGACAGTTTTATCTCAACGAGATGCACAAGCCTGGTGATGTGATTCTGGGTGGGCTCTTTGAAGTCCATTACACCTCCGTCTTCCCTGAGCTATCGTTCACCTCAGAACCAAATAAGCTCAGCTGCCAGGGGTAAGTGCGGCATTCAAGCAGCAGGCAGCATAAATCTGTGTAGATCGTTCACACAATTTGTTGTTTTTGAAGTTTAATTGTGACATTTATGTGCTAGATTTGACTCTTCAGCGTTCAGGCATGCGATGACGATGGCCTTTGCTATTGATGAGATCAACAAAAACTCCAACCTGCTACCAAATGTGACTCTGGGATACAGTCTGTATGACAACTGTGCCACACTTGTAGTTGGATTTAGTGCTGCGTTGTCTTTGGTCAGTGGTCGAGAGGAACAGTTTCTGCTTCAGGAGAACTGTTCAGGGACCCCTCCGGTCTTGGGGATTGTGGGTGATTCCTTCTCCACATTTTCTATTGCCACCTCTGACGTAATAGGTTTATTCCACCTTCCTATTGTAAGTTTTCTTACCTCGATTTTATCTGTGCCTTTGATGTGTTGTATTTTTTAAATGACAGGATAGAAAATTTACATTTCTGTCCAGCAACCCTTCATTTTACATTTTAAGTGTTTGTTTCGTTGTAGGTGAGCTATTTTGCCACATGTTCTTGCCTGAGTGATCGCAACAGATTTCCATCCTTCTTTAGAACCATACCAAGTGATGCTTTTCAGGTAAAACTCTAATCTGAAAACAACAAATGCAATGTCTGATGGTGCTGGGTCCCTCAGTCAAACGAAGTGCTGCATTTCACAATCTGTTGTATATTGAATTAGACAAAAGAGCATGATGGGATCAAATACCATTGATTTTAGGCATGAAGAGGTGTACATTTCAGCTAAAATGTAATTGCAGCCTGTGCACTAATCCCTCTACTCTGTATTAGGTGCATGCAATGATTCAGATCCTAAAGCGCTTTGGCTGGACGTGGGCAGGTCTGCTGGTCAGTGACGATGATTACGGACTCCACGCTGCCCAGTCCTTTCAAACTGAGTTGGTTCAGTCTGGTGGAGGTTGTCTGGCCTACACAGAGATTTTGCCGTGGGGGGAAAACCCGGCTGAACTACGGAGGATTGTGGATGTGATGAAGAAATCCACAGCTCGTGTGGTAATCGTGTTTGCCCATCAGATTACTATGATTCAGCTGATGGAAGAGGTATCTATCTATTGCTGTAGCTCAGCTGTTGGACCTAAAATTTGACATCTAACCCTATTTGCTAACTTATGTCTTAATGCCTGGATTACATTGGCTGGATGCTTATAATTCTAGTTTCATGTATCATACTGGTTCAGTCCTGTGCAAGTCTAAAACAATTACAGTCTCATACATTTTTCATAAAATGCAATCCACAGGTGGTGAGGCAGAATGTAACAGGCCTGCAGTGGATGGCCAGTGAAGCCTGGACAGCAGCTGCTGTGCTCCAAACTCCACGCCTCATGCCGTACCTGGGCGGCACACTGGGCATCGCCATCCGTCGAGGAGAAATCCCAGGACTCAGGGATTTTTTGCTAAAAACACATCCTGACCTATATGACAGCAATAACAGTGGAGATAGCATGGTACGTTTTAAAGTAACTTTAATCAGATTAATAATTACAACATAAATTCTTATTGTCTCTGTTAAGACTTTGTTTGAAATACATTTCAGGTAAAACAGTTCTGGGAACACACATTTCAGTGTAGATTTGCTCCACCTCCGGCAGGTTGGGTGGAAAGTGGGGGAGCAATATGCACTGGAGAAGAAGACCTCGAGACTGTGGAGACTGAGTTCTTGGATGTTTCTAACCTCAGGCCTGAGTACAATATATACAAAGCTGTGTACGCTCTGGCATACGCCCTTGATGATATGCTGCGCTGTGTTCCAGGGAGCGGGCCTTTCATCGGACACAGCTGTGCCAGTTTGCAAAGACTGGAGTCCTGGCAGGTGTGATATCAGTTTACACTTACCCACTGTTGGCACTATTTTTGAGCTCAGCCATGATGTCTTGAGGTGTTACTAAAACAGGTTTTGCACTTCATGAGGTATCATTAACTGTAACCTTAGAAAACTGGTTTCCCTTGAATGCATTTGAGTAGAATACAAAATCTGTAATCCTAGAAATTGCAAGATAACACCCCTGTTTCAACGATTAATTATAGCATCAGAAGTTGATCACATTTAGAGAGCTTAAACTGGAATTTTCAATTAAAAACAATTTAAAATTTCAAACGTTAGCATGACTAAATCAACAAACAAACATACATCCAATCAAGAAAAGTCATTTGAGTTTCCCTGTCACAATATTCATGTGTAAATTTATCTCATCCCTTTGTAGTTTTTGTATTACTTAGAAAAGGTCAACTTCACAACATCGTTTGGTGATCAAGTGTCATTCGATGAAAATGGCGATGCCTTACCAATCTATGATATAATGAACTGGCTGTGGCTCCCTGATGGACGAACTAAAGTTCAGAATGTGGGAGTTGTTAAGAAGACCACCTTCACAGATGAACAACTCACACTTGATGAAGACAAAATCTTCTGGAACTTTGACTCCAAACAGGTTACTTTTATTTATTGTTTTTTCAATCGTAGTTGTCTATGACACGTGATAATAGCTTGAAGTTTTGTAGAATAAATTCTGCCCCTGCAGCCTCCACGGTCAGTGTGCAGTGAGAGCTGCCCTCCAGGTACCCGCATGGCCAGAAAAAATGGGCAACCTGTGTGCTGTTTTGACTGTGTGCCCTGTTCTGAAAGGAAGTTCAGCAATAAAACAGGTTGGTATAAACTGGTATTGTTCTATCATCACATTTGTATGCAGGAACCTTCCTCTGCTTGCAGAATCACAAATAATTTCTTTCATCGGTGGCTGCTTAAACATGAATACTTTTACAGAGTTAAGGAAGAATATCCTTAATGCTGTACAAAAAATGAATATGGCTCACTGGGTGGTTATGTGGCGTGGATGTGCAGGGACAGTATGAATCTCCGTACATGCTCTCCAGTGCAACAGTACAATTTAGTAGTGACAAAAAAATGGAAAATGTGCCATGTGAAATTGCGATCAAAGATATAAAAAAAAAAAAAAAAGACAAAGACAGATAAACTTCCTCTTTCTCTTAGACTCCATGGAGTGCACTAGTTGTCCAGAAGACTTCTGGTCCAGCCCCCAGCGTGACCACTGTGTTCCTAAGAAGACAGAGTTCCTCTCCTACCATGAGCCTCTGGGTATCTGCCTGACAACTGTTTCATTGCTGGGCACATTTATCTGTGCTGTAGTCCTGGGGGTCTTCCTTTACTATCGTAGCACACCCATGGTACGCGCCAACAATTCAGAGCTGAGTTTCCTCCTTTTAGTGTCACTTAAACTGTGCTTCCTGTGTTCGCTGCTGTTCATCGGACGACCCAGGCTGTGGACATGCCAACTGAGACATGCAGCGTTTGGGATCAGCTTTGTTCTTTGCGTGTCCTGCATCCTGGTCAAAACCATGGTGGTTCTGGCTGTGTTCAAGGCCTCCAAGCCAGGAGGTGGGGCCAATCTCAAGTGGTTTGGTGCTGTGCAGCAGAGAGGGACAGTTTTCGCTCTCACTTGCATTCAGGCAGCCATCTGTGTTGTGTGGATTGTCTCGGCCTCACCACTGCCCCACAAAAACACTCAGTACCACAATGACAAGATAGTTTA